ATTATTTCATCAATGTGGGAATAGACTGAATAAGTCAAAATATCTAATTACCTGATTACCAGTAACAGCCTTGTTTCACAGATGTCCTTAAACCACCAATATTAAAAAACCTACACTTGTATAACACTTTAACAACCTCAGAATGTCCCAAGGTACATCGGAATTAGTAGCAGTGACTCCACCCGCACAAATACTGCAGAGTAGGAAAATGTGGCAGCCAAATTCTGTATTTCAAGACTTCACAGCCAGTAAATTAGAGGAATGACTGTTTGTTTGGTTTTGGTGTTAACAAGAGAGGGAACAATGCTGACTCAATTCAGGAAAATCCCTAACTTGCAAGAAAGTGCAAAGGAATTGTTTACATACACTAACTGAGCACTAACCAGATGTTCAGCATCTTATTGGATTAATTTCTAGTAACAAGCCACTCTAGTGGATTGCTATGAAGGTCCATGTAACAGTTTTTAAACAGCTATTTCATATTAATAGAGAAATGCTTTGATGCAACAATCTTAATTTAAATGTGAAACCATAGGATTCAGTAAATCTAGCTTATTATGAAATATCCATCACAGCAGTGCATGTTGTAAACTGTTATAATATCCACATTGAAACCAAACTTGTTCATATCTCACTATATAGCAAATTTCAATACATACAATACTCGTAGAGTTCGAAGTCCTTTAAAGGCCCCATCAGCAATATGGCTTATACTGTTGTGACTTAAGCGAAGAATCTGGAGCCCACTTAGCCCTGTTAGGCTTCCCTCATCCAAACTGATCAAGTTATTGTGTGAAAGGTTTCTGAGAAAAAAAAACCATAGGACTTAGAAAAGTTAATTAAAAATATATAATTAGTTAATAGCTAATTTGAATACATAAGCAGCTTTTGGCACAGAAATAATGCATTGACCCTTGCCTTCTCCCTTCACCACAGCAATGTTTACCATTTACCTGTTGCTTAAAACTTGCGACAGTGCAATTCCACAGGTGTACTGACCTTCAGAGCACTCAGTAAAGTGACCAGTAATATGCAACCCTCAATAACCTTGCAAGACTTTTGAAGTAAGCAATGGGGTCAGTCTAATACTGACCTCATTTATGCATTCCCATTAGAAGTTATGGTAGTGCAACGCCCAAATTAAGTAACGGACAATATTATTACCACCAACCTGACTGATTTCAGCTAATGCAGAGACAATGGACTGAAGTTCAAGCATTTTCACCATGGCTTATTCAGCTCAGCTGTTCATTGCCTTAACCAGCTGAGCCACTAGGGTGACAATAAAAAAAAACACTACATCTCTATTCAATTATCTAAAGTGTGAAAAATGATACATCAAACTGGCCACAATGGGCAGAGGGAAAATTAACACAACTTTCATCCTTCGTCCCATAGAATCTAGGTAAAGAAAACAGAAACTAACTATGCAGGGGGGATAACAAACAGCTAAAGTACACTGCACGCAAGCGTAAAGCATCCATGTGTATCTTCTGCATACATGTCAACCTTTTGTGGATTTCAGATAAAGTTTAATCTGTGGACTGAATCCACATTCAAGTTTAGAGAGCGGCTTGATTTACACTCGTGTGTATACAACCCAACAGTATTTCTGATGAAGGGTCTAGGCCCGAAATGTCAGCCTTCCTGCTCCTATGATGCTGCTTGGCCTGCTGTGTTCATCCAGCTCTACACCTTGTCATCTCAGATTTTCCAGCATCTGCAGTTCCTACTATCTCTAGTATTTCTGTTTATTAAACGTTTTGCCTAGTGAAGCAATATCATGGGATTTTTAATCTGTAACTATGAAAACCCAGCTGGAAATTTTCTGAAATGCACACCAAAGAGAATAGGATTCTGAGCTAATAGTTTTTAAAAAGCCTTATTTGTGACTTTGGGTTTACATTATGGAAGCTGACAGTGGTTTAAAGAGATGTCATATAGAAACAGAAAATAAGAATCGGTCACTCAAGCTTCATCCATCTTTCAATATGATCTGGGCTGCGCATCCAACTCAGCACCCTGTTTCTGCTTTCTCCCCATATTTTTTGATTCCTTGAGCCCCACAGTTAGATGCAATTAGTTGTGCAATATTATGAAACTATCTTCATTTGACAAATCTCAAAAGTGCTTTCTACGTCAGCTTAACAACCACAAATACATACCAATCATCCATCAAAATGTATTAACTGGATACTAAAATTTTTATTTCTGTCAAGGAGTAAAACAGGACATTTTAGATACAAGATCAATCGAAAGAAGAGCTGCAAAGATTAACAGATCTCTCACTTAAATTCAGAATTAATATCATTTGTTACCAGAATTAACTCATTATAATTTTTCTTTATTCATTTAATCAGAATGTAAATTTGTTCCCAAACTGAGGAAAAGCAAAATTTGTTATCTGTGTATTTATATTCTACTTACTAGCCTATAACCAAGGTTACAATTTCAATGAATTTAAGATTTGAATTTTTGAAAAAAAAAGTTTTAGAAAATATTTACCAACGTATTGCTACCAATGCAAAGTCAGACTGAAGACTACCCTAAAAGGCAGAAGACTACCAAAAAAAATCTCCCACCCAGCAACAAATAAAAACAAGTCAGACACCAGTACAGTCATATTGTATACTCATATCAAAATAAAACAGAAACGACTTCATAGCCATCTATTTTACATAACTGTGATAAGTCCTAAACTAAAATGATGTTAATGACACAATCTTAATTATTCCATTTATTTTCTTCAGTCCACATCTAAGCAAAGCTAACTTTACATGTTTCAGTAGGGACAGAAATATCAAAAACATCTTATAATTAATGCACGTGCCATCAGTTATTCTGTACTGAAATGCACAGTATCCCAGACATTATTTCTCATTAATTTAAACCCGCAAGGATGTCCCTCTAATGTACATCATGCTTGCTGTCTTTCATCCCAAATGAGTTGTCCTTCAGGTAAAAGGATGAAAATGTACATGTGTTTTGCTTTGGGATGGGGTTGGCCAGTGAACATTTGCATCATGATCTGATTTGTCCTTACTCCAAGGCTTAGTTTGTTCATGTACCAGAATGTTACACTAGGAGTGTCTTTATCTGTTGTACTATGTTATAAATCAGATGTAGTCATAATAAGAGTATTAACTTCATATACAGACCATAATTTAACACAATGCTGCTTCTACATCCACCTGTGAATGTGTTCTAATTTGTCATGATTATATCAGTGACATCACTGTGACATATACATGAATCCATTACGCTAATTTTACAAATGCTGCTGGGCGGGAGGGGTGGGGTGGAATTTACTGCTGAGATTTGTCCTCAAAAATATATACCACCATGGCACTTACAATTCCACTAACTTCTGGCAGAATCCCCAGGCATCAGGATGTATTCGAGAGATGGTATTGTAGTTCAGAAAAAGCTGCTGCAGAGAGGACAGCCCATAAAGCCAGCCACTTGTCACTTCATTTAAGACATTACTGTCCAAATGTCTGGAAGAGATAAATATATGACTTACGCTACCTTCATACAAGACATGGGAACACAAGTATCTTAAAAGAAATTAATTCATACCTTATATCTAACGAAACACATCACAACGCTGCATTTGTTAAAACTGATTACAATTCAAATTTTCAAACCAAAATGACCAACGATGTAACCAAAGTCGGCAAATGTACAAAATCAAAAAGCTACAGAATATCCATCCATCACCTACCCAGTGGGACAGATAAAAATATTGAGACATCTGTTAAGTTTGCATTGCAGTTTTTCATACCATTATGACGTTGCACAATATGATACTTCAGGGGTAAACTCAGGTCATGGCACCTTCCAGTGTCCAGATTCACTCCAGCGTATGATAAATATAAATTGAGCAAAATATTAAACTATGTGTAGGCATTAGAATGACAGCCTACAATACCACTGATTGTAGTTTGACGGTCTGATATTGCAAAGTTATTTATAAGGAGAATGCATGTGGAAAGTAACAAGATAGAAGAAGGATGAACAGAATAAGGGCTACAAGAGTATTGGGGAGGTGGGGGTAGAAATACAAATATAATTCATTGGTTTGTTCACTGACAGCCTTCATAAACTCAATGCGATTAATTACCTCTTTCTGTGCCATAATGATTTCATAACAATGCAGAATACTGCAACAGATGGTCTTCTAGAGTTTTCATGTCTGAGATATCATTTCATAAACAGGACTTACAAAACTTGCATCCTGGCAAGACCCCAAAAGGCACCATCCATGAGTTTACTGATGTTATTCCTCTGTAATTTAAGCACTTCTAAACTGTCTAATCCATGGAATGTTAGCCCATCGATGAGACGTATTCTGTTTCGGTTCAGCTCTCTGGAACATAAATTGTGCAAAAACTTATCCTTAAGTCTGCTTTCACTTGCCACTGCTCTCTCTCATTTCTGTTGATATAAAAAAAGGCAGTTCCGAAGGTAACTGATCCAAATTCCAAAACTATGTTGAAAAGATAGAAATGAAAAGTACAATGTATTTGATTTTCAAAACCTAAAGCTTTTCAGACCTGATGCAAATAGTCTTATATTGAGACCGCCAAACATCTAGATTCAGTCTAGAATGCAAAGCCACTGTCGGCTCTATTTACCATCTGGTGGCTGCAAATTTCATAAGACATAGAAAGCAGTCACGCAAAGTAACCCAGTGATCTTTACTCTAAAGCCAACATGAATTTCAGCAGTAATTCGTCAAATTGCTTAAAACAAACACTATTCAGGTTTTGTTTTTTGTGATGAAAAATGCAGTCCCACAAATCGAAATTTATATCATTCACAAACAACCTCTATTTATAATTTCATTTGTCATCTCAACAATAACAGCAAGAGAACATTGCTCAGATAATCATTTTGGAATATCTGTACCAATTGAATTCTGAACAAAATTCTTAAAAGTCTTGCTCTAGGTTTATCTAGCTTTGCTTCAGGGACCAGAAGCTAATTATAGATTCCTGTTTGCAACAATGGAGAAATACAAATGTTTGAATAATCTGATCCATCACTAATGGCATTATTTCATGCAAGGCATTTCTTTTAGGAGATACAAGTAAAACAGAAGGGATAGATGAGGAAATATGGCATACTTTTCTACTCGAAGTGGCATTTGTGAGTAGTTATATAGTTAATTAAGCCAATATTGTGCCTCGTGTATCAGACAGTCTTGAACTCAAATACGTAACCTAATGCCTATACAAATAAATAAATAAATTCAAAGCAAGTAGAGGTCACACAGGACTTGACAGCAGGAATACGGCATTTGGAATTTTGAACCTGCTCCACCTTTAATAAATATTTTCCCTCATCTCCAACTTTCAAGAGAGATCTCTCATTTATAAACTATGTCCCCCAGTTCTGGTCTCTCACAAGGGGAAACAACCACTGGTTCTTTAGCCTAACAAGTCCATTCAGGAACTTACATGTTTCAATAAGATCACTCCTTGGAGTCATAGAGACATACAGCATGAAAGCAGATTCTTTAGTCCTAGTAGTCCACGCTGACCATGTTCCCAAACCAAACTAGATCGACTTCTGCATTTGGCTCGTATCCCCTCCAAACTGTTCCTATTTATGTATTTATCCAAATGCTTCTTAAATGCTGTAACTGTACCTGCATCTACCACTTGCTCTGGCAGTTTCATTCCATATACGAGCCACTGTGTAAAAACGTTGCCCTTCATGTCCTTGTTAAATCTTTCTCCTCTCACATTAAAAATATGCCCCCTAATTTTGAACTCCCTCACCCTAGGAAAAAGATCCATGCTATTCACCTTATCCATGCCTTTCATGATTTTATAAACCTCCAAGGTCACTCCTCAACTTCCTATGTTCCAGTGAAAAAAGTCGCAGCCTATCCAGCTTAACTCAAACCTTCCATTCCCGGCAACATTCTTGTAAATCTTTTCTGAACTGTCTCCAATTTAAGAATACCCTTCTATAGCAGAGTGACATGAACTGCACACAATACTCCAGATTAGGTCTCACCAACATCCTGTACAACCTCAACACAACATCCCAACTCCTGTACTCAAAGTCCTGAGCAATGAAGGCAAGCGTGCTAAACACCTCAACCGCCCTGTCTACATGTGATGGAAATTTCAAAGAATTATGTACTCTGTTTTACAACATTAACCAGGGCACTACCATTAACTGTACAAGTCCTGCCTTCGTTTGTTTTGCCAAAATGCAATACCTCGCCTTTATCCAAAATAAACTCCAGCTGCCACTCCTCAGCCCATTGGCCTAATTGATCAAGATCATTTTACAATCTTAGATAACCTTCTTCACTGTCCACCATACCGCCAATTTTGGTGTCATCTGCAAACTTACTAACCATGTCTCACAAATTCTCATCCAAATTGTTTATGTAAATGAGAAACAAAAATGGACTCCCTAACAATCCTTGTGGAACACCACTGGTCACCAGCCTACAGTCTGAAAAACACTCTCTACGACCACCAGCGGTCTGCTACCATCAAGCCAATTTTGCATCGAATTAGCAAGCCCTTCCTGAATCCCTTATGATTTAACTTTACTAATTAGTCTACCATGCGGAACCTTGTCAAAGGCTTGATTAAAGTCCAAGTAAACAACGTCTACAGCTCTGCTCCCATCAATCTTTTTTGGTTACTTCCTCAAAAAACTCAGTTTGAGAGACATGATTTCCCTCACACAAAGCCATACTGACTATCCTTAGTCCTTGCCTCTCCAAATGCATGTAAATCCTGGCTTTCAGAATCACCAACCACCTACCTGCCACAGATGTCAAACTCACTGGTCTGCAGATCCCAGGCTTCTCCCTACAGCCGTTCTAAACGGGTGTGGGCTAACTTGTTCAATCTTTGTCATTGATAGCTTAGTTGTCTGCATGATTTTATTTAGTCAGGAATCCATCAACACTAACAAAAATTAGATTCGGATTTGGTAAAGATTTATCTCTATCAAAAAGATGTGTAGCAAATAAACTGCATAACAATGTACAATAGTAAAACAATTCCACACATTAAACTCTAATTACACTTCATGCACAGAGATTCTGCACAATTGGAATTACTCTTCAGTGCATCCCAACAGTTGGAGAAACAAAACTAAATTTCAGGAGGTACCTGCAATCCAAGCAATAAAAGTAAATACTGAGATCAGATCAAGATTGAACTTTCTATTATATTTGTACTACAGAAGGTCACAACACAGCAATATGAACAATAGCTGCATCCAATCACTATGACAAGCAGTGCATCATTTCATAGTACTGCTGTAGGAATATCATGACAAATGATGAAAAGAACAGCAAAATTAAATAGTTTAAGTTTGCATTAAATATGGAACTAAAATTCAAATCTTATGAATAGTAAATCATACAAGAAATTTGAAACAAAGATTCTTTTCCCCACTCACAAAGGAGGAGATCTGTAACTCTTACTTGTAAGTTACAGAGATCAATTACATTTGCAAGACACATTTCTTTTAAACAAATTCTGAACAATTCTATAGAAATACCATTATTTAGCCAGTGAATCTGCAAGAGTGAAAAATGATTCTAAAACTATTTACAATGCAGTAAGTATAATTAAACCAGGATACCCAGAATAATGAAAATATTATCAGGGGTTTTACTCACAGATGCAGCAGGTGTGGTAACTTGAAAATCTTGACAGGCAAATGTGAAATTCGATTTTTGCTTAGTCGAAGAACTTGTAAGGTGCTTGACAAATTATCAAATGTGCCAGGTTCCAACGTGCTTATTCGATTGTTGCCCAGATAGCTAAGAACATAGATTTATAGATTACAGCAGGAATTATTACCATGTTCAACAAAAAAACATTACAACTTTATAAAAAAATTTGCAAATTGAAAGGATTAATTTATGATGAATTCAAAATAACATACTTATCATTTATGCAGTTGTAATCTTACAAGTTTGAATAAGAAAATAAGATTTACGAGCATTCAAAGCTGCGTTAAACATTTAGAACAATGTATTCATCAAGCACATATTTTACAACAAGCAAAGTACTAAGCTAAGAATTGATGACATAATAACTTCAGTGAAATGAATTTTCAGATTAGATTACTAACATTTATCTCCAGACAATTACTTTTATTTTTACTTATAGAACCATACGAGTTTGCAACACAGGAGAACACTACCCCAGAGTACCAGAAACAGAAACAACAGCTGCAATGGAATGAATTCAGTCATTCATTAATATCATGGTTGATCTTCTACTCAGCGATCTATTTCTGAATTATCCCTATAATCCCCTGATTTTTTTTTTTAAAATCCACCCGATATTCAAAAATTTGAAACTAGTGACTGGAATAGTCCACTGCAGATAGTAAAAGATTCACAACTCTGAACAACATGAGCAACATTTCTTCTGATCTCCTTCCCTTAATTCCTCGTTCTAGACCACCAGGAAAGGGAAATTATCCAAATCAGATCTATCACATAGCTTAAGAATTTTAGCCCAGATCTTCAAATAGCAAGATAGCCATTGCACTAGCGTTTTCTAAAAACGTGCATCTGAATCCCTCAGAAGTACTAACTGTGTGTAAACTGTCTTGACTGGTTTAAACTTCTGATGAGTAATTACCAGGTCAGGGTAATTACCCTCCAAAAAAGTCTTAAACTCTGAGTTAGAATCAGAGACTTGAGGATTCCAACTCACTTCCCCAAATAATTACCCAAGCAGCGTTAGGGGCCTTAAAATCTGCTCTAATTTCTTCGGTAACTATGCTACTGACACCCCCTGTCTCACATCTAACCTAAGCTGCACCGACCTGTGACCATACACCCACATTCACTGACAAATTATTAAACAATGCAATGTGAAGTAAGAAAACTAATCACACTTGGAATTATTAAATAACAATGTAACTAAATATTTGAAATAAAAAGTCATTACATCCATCAATTACAACAGAGTGATAAGAAACAGAAAGAAATTGCAAAACAAAAAAACTGTAATACTTGGAAAAACTGGTACAGCAGCTCCACTGAAATGACCTTGCAGTTTAAACTCCATGATGTCTCCTGTTTCCCAGCAATTCTGGCATTATGTTTTTTTGCGGAGAGGGATGCATGGCTTTACTTTCTGTGTACTGTATCTAGGCCTGCCTGGTTATCAATGATGGTGGTTTCAGGAAGTGATCAGCATTGCAAAACAGGCCATATCAAGCATGGACAATTAAGCAGATACTTTTTCCTATGATTGGCAGTTGGAACAGTTCCATGCCACAAAAAAACTCAGAACTGCAGATGTTAGAAATCGGAAACAAAATCAGAAATTGCTGGAAAAAGACGGCAGACCTGAAGGAGGGTCACTGGACCCAAAATGTTAAGTCTGCTTCCTCTCCTCAGATGCCACCAGACCTGCTGAGTTTTTCCAGCAATTCCTGATGTGGTTCTGTAACACTTCTCACATTTAAACTCTTGAAAAATTTGCTGCGTCTGTCAGCTTCTCATAGGAGAATTGTTGTTGTACTCCATCCAAGAGCAATAAGCAAACTATACCTGCCATAGTACTCCTTGTGCAGCATCACCAAGGCCTGATATAATTTCAGCAATACCTGTCTTTTTGTATGCAATCTGTCTGTGACATTTGCTTTCTTCATTACTTGTTGAGCCTGCACGTTAATTCTGTGTATAGAAGGGACTTGGATTCTTCGGGTTTCCAACATATCCTAATCTCTCACCATTTAAAAAATATTCTACTTCTGTACTTCTTTCAAAGCAGATAACTTCACATTTCTCTACATTATATATTCCATCTTCCATGTCCTTCTAACTTTTTGGCCTCCTCAATGCTTACATTCCCACATAAACGTTGTATAGTCAACAAACCTGGATACATGACACATCATCCCCTCATTCAAGTCATTTTACACACTGCAAACAGCTCATGTTCAAGCACTGATCCATGTCACACCTCACCAGTTAAAGCCTGCCAACCTGAAAATTACTAATGTACTACTGTTTTCTGTCCGTTAAACAATCTTCAATCTATGCCAATAGATTTCATGTACAATAATCTTGTGCCACATTAAACGTTTTCTTTTTAATGCCAATGCAGTAAATGCACTGTTTCCCCACTATCTGCCCTGCTAGTTATAAACCTCAAAAACCTAACAGTTTTGTTTCCTTTCATACATCCAACTTCAGTGTGTTCAATTTTATTATACATACAATCTTGGTCATAGGCTATCATTTTCCTTTCTACTAATATCATGCCTGTAATTGTCTATTTTTCTGTGTTTATTTTTGAATAGTAGGATTGTGTTTGCTACCTTGCAACCTACATTCTAAAATCTAGAACATTTTGGAAGATTAAAACCAATGTATTCACTGTGTCTGCAGTCACCTCATTAAAACCTTAAAAGGTATAGACAGTCACATCTGGGAGATTTGTCAGGTTTCAGTACCAATAATTGGTCTTTTTCCCCCTCATACTAATATTGTCAAATCTTTATTTTTTTTTCTAGATCCTTGGTCTCTATTACTTTCACAAGGTTTTGTATCTCACCTAGTTAAATCATGCAACCAGACTATATGTGCACTTCTTATCTAAGTGCACACAAAATTTTATTTGTCCAGTCTAAGTCCCCTGGTCTCCGATAATTACCATACTATTCTTGCTGCATGTTAATTTTCTGATTTATACTCTGTCCAACACCAGAATTGCTGAAGGTCCAATAAATTTTTCCACAATTCTTTTCTGCTTATGTCTTAGTGACATCTAAACTGATTCAGTACCTTGATTTTCAACTGTCTTGATCCCAGCCTTATGAAAAAGGCTGATCTCTCCCAAATTCATTCTACCTATTTCTTCTAAAGGTCAAACATCCTGGAACATTTAATTCCAAACTTTGGTCATGATACAGCCACTCCTAAATAACTATTACATCAATTAATTTTTATTTGTACTATTAATTCATTAGTTTTGTTCATTCAAAAATAATGCCTTCAACTTTATTTCTATTTTTTTTCCCCCACTTATATTACTCTAATCACTAGTGTACTTTTGTCAGTTTCTGCTCCCTCGATTCAAAGATTCTTTTTAAACTAAATTTGGAATCGTTATCTACGGCCGTGGTTATTTTATCTACCAGAGTGCTGATCCTAGCCTGCGGCCTATCTTGCTGAGCGTGGCCAATATATTTATGTGTACAGGTCTTTTAAGGTATTTTACACAGCTATTTCCAGTCTTAGCCCAGTTTAAGTAGAACACGAGATAGTAGGAACTGCAGAAGCTGGAGAATCCGAGACAACAAGGTGCAGAGTTGGATGAACACAGCAGGCCAAGCAGCATCATAGGAGCAAAAAGGCTGACGTTTCAGGCCTAGACCCTGAAACGTCAGCCTTTT